CATTTATATCTAAATAATTGATGTAATTGATTTAATGGCACAATAATTTATTTGTCAAACTTCTTTTTGACCCTATAATTTATTTTAATACGCCAGTTATATATTTATACATTTATTTCCAATAATGATAGGTTTGGTCCTCCATAAAGATGAAGACTGTTCAGAAATCTCTACATGTTCTGGTACAGACTCTAGTTTAGTGTCTCCTCTGAATTGAGATTTATTTTCTCATGTCAGATTGAGACAACATCTACATGCAAATAATAACTAATATCAAATAAAAAGATGTAATTTTGGCCTCACTGATCATTTGTTGCTTGCAGATGTCAGTATGCACAATTCCTCAGGACTGCCTTCAACCCCGGCCTCTTTAAATGGTATGTTGTAATCAAACTCACATTAATGGTTTATTTTTGCTACTCTAAAGCATTACGTATTTTTATTCCTCTTAATTTGTTAAATTTGGATGCCAATTATGAGCGTACAATGTGGATATGAATAAAAGTCTAAATCTAAACCATAAAATGCAAAACTGAGTCTGTGTGCTCTTTCTGCTGCTGGTTTGTGGGTCTTAACTCTGACCACAATTCACCCATTTAATAGCTCATTTGTTGGCACTGAATTCCACTTTCATCCCAGTTCAGCAAGTCTTTTCAAACTTATTTCTCAGCTGTGCTAAAGTGGGAGGCCTTCAGCAGCATAATGTTCCTGCCTCGGCTGAAGAATAGTTTGCAGTTGTTGATGTTTTATTACCCTCAGAGTTGCCTACTGTTACATTAACTACTACAAGTCAGAAAACACACAGAAACTGTTGTGTATTATTAAAATATTCTTGTATCGTGTACTGTTTTATTGCGACTGCGTAGATTCTCTGAAGAAAAGGCTCAACGAGCTGCCGTCTCCAGAGAGAGAAATCACAACTGTAAACCTGAAGAAAGATGTGAAATATGGACTTGGTAAGCCGACAATATAAAAAAATGTATCAGATGTTTATTTTTAAAGGGGGGGTATTATGCAGTATGTACTTTTTTGAGCTTTACATCTTGTTATAATTTCATTCCTTCATCAAAAACATTCCCAGAGTGTTGTGCTCCTGTTGTAACCATGTGGAGCTGCTTAAACACTTAAACACTTACTGGTACAAAGCACCGCCTTTTTACACAAAGCTCCTCCCTGAAACTCCGTCTGTAACTGCCCTCTCCCCCCCCTCGCACCACCCCTCTCTCCCCCCCCCCCCCGTAAGCATTGTTGGAAAACGTGCTGAAGTGGGAGTGTCTGAAACGGTAGGATGTTCTTAAAGAGACAGAGGCAAAATTCAAGGCGTTTAGGCTATGATGCAAAGTCAAATTAATTTTAGAGATACGCAGCATTTTTATAATAACTGAAGGTAACGTAGTTTTAATTGAAGTATGTGTCTGGCAAATACGTAACACCCACCTTTAATTTGTTTTATCAAATTGGAAAAATGCAAAAAATGCCACCTTTCTCAAACAGAATTTTAACTTAATTGCTTTTGATGTAGTTGGATTTGTGCATGAGTGTTAAGCTCTTTGAACATGTGTGTGTAGTTATGTTGTTATGACTGTGCCTGTGTGTGTTGCAGGATTTCAGGTCGTTGGAGGGGAAAACTCAGGCCGTGCGGACCTCGGTACTATCGTTAGCTCCATCACTCCTGGGGGTCCAGCTGATCTTGATGGCTGCCTTAAACCTGGTAGGACTGTGTTTTCTAACCCTGTTCATCCTGTGTGGGTTGATTCTTGTGTTTTGGTCGCTTGCTGAGACGACAGCTCCTAACTCTGTAGATTTCTGTCTGGTTAGTTTTCCATGCATGTAATCGTGGTAAAATTGATTCAGGTGACCGGCTGATATCTGTGAATGATTTTAACGTGGAAGGACTTTCTCATGCTGTTACGGTTGATATTCTTCAAAATGTCCCTGATGATGTTACTCTGGTAGTGTCACAACCCAAAGAGAGCCTTTATAAAGGTAAAAGTAGAAATATACAAGTTTTTAAACTCTTTTTTTGTTGTTGTTTTTAACAGAGGTACTACTTTAATTTGCCTTCTTACATCCCTCTCCTTTTTAATTTTTTTTTTTTTTTTTGACAGATTCACCTCCAGAATATACTCCTCGTCAGCCCACGTCTTCATTTAGGACACCTAACTCCGCTCACAGACAAGAACTGAATGTTGACTCATCATCTGAGGAAAATCAAGAAGCTGGAAGCCCCAGCCCTCCAATCCTCAGAGCTGCCATGCCATCATCTTCCTCTTCTCCAAGCCGCCATAACACCAACCTCATTTCTCAGGACTCTAAGCCAGGCAGTGCTGCTAAAACCAGCACGTCTCCTATTGACAGAATTCAGAAATGCTTGGAAAGAGCCGCAGCTCCTTCCACAGCCGAAACCACCACTCAGAATCGTGGAACTGAACCCAAAGTGGGTTTGAATCCCACGCCGCCAGCTCTGCCACCTAAAGTCAGAAAAATTAAGCTTTCAGAAATTCCCAAATTTTCTGAGCTTTCTGACCGAGGAGACACAGACATGGATGAAGAGACTAATTCTAGTTATCAAGAGAAACTGAAGGTCAAAAAGGTGCGATTTTTGAGGGTTTGAATTCATTGGTGTGAATAGACTCTTTGTTCTTAGATATTTTTTTACATAATAGTCATCTGCTCTAGAGTACCATGAACTAAAATACACAAAGTTATGCTTTTATTCTTGTGAAACAAGTATTTCTTCCATGAACAAGCATATTTTTTTATTACGTGTTAGATGCTCGAGACAACTAACTGCCTGCAGTTAACCCTTGACCTACCATTGCATTGAACATTTCAATGCAATGCAGAATGATCACTGCATGTTGAATGTATTAGAATTGCTTCAGCGCAGCACCAACATCAGCTTCCTCACGCTTTCTTAGAGCACATTTTCTTTCTGCATGTTGTTGCATGCCATGAATCACCTCGATGCACTGTTCTCTGTTTGCAGGACAACATCACGGACAATATAAATGGTAATGACCCAGGGGTCAATGGTCTCCATCCTGGAGAACTATTTGACGTTGAGCTGTCCAAAACAGACAGCGGTCTGGGCATAAAAGTCACGGTACTGTCCGACAAGGTTTTCACTCTCTCCTTGTTTTGGCTCCTATCCTGCTCCTCTCATCACTGTTGTTCTTAAGTGATTTTTTTTTAACTTATTTTTGCTTACTTAGCTCTGTTTGTTTGAAGAGCTTGTTGTAATACAACTCATTTTGCATGATATATCTTTTAAACACAAAAAATAATAAAATCACATATTCTTCACCCTCACAGTAATGACTAAAACGACTAAACGCTGTAAGAATGGCTGATTTGGGGTTTATAATGATTAACTAATGTTTATGTTTACTGCTTGATGAGTGATAAAATGAAGTGCAATTAATCTCACTTCTCTCTCATGGACTTTAAACATTGATTGGCGTAGATAACACTCAGACACTAATCAATTGATTATCTTCTCATTGCTCTTAGATTTACGTTTTGTGGTTAATAGAAACTGAAAAATAGCAATTGATCCATATGGCCAACTAGACATGATCATTGTCAAATAGAATATTAGCCTAATGTTTATCATTTAAATTGAACCAATCTAGTTATTATTTAAATAACATCCCTTCTGGGAATTTTATTTTTTCCAAATCAGCTTTTGTTAAACAAAAAGTTCTTTGTTTTTATTTTAGTAGGAGTAAATTAGACACTATTTAAACAAATTGTCCAAGAAAAGTACGGCTTTATTGAAGTTTTTCATTTGTAAAACCCCAATTCTAATTTCTAATGAAGTTGGGATGTTGTGTTAAAGATAAATAACAACAGGATACAATGATTTGAAAATCCTTTTCAACTCGTCAGACCTAAGGATACTTTTCCACTTTGCTTCAGTCCATCTCAGATGAGCTCGATCCCAGAGAAGCCGGCAGCGTTTCTGGGTTGTTGATACTGTATGTCTTTGGCTTTGCATGGTATTGAGTTTTACTTCACTGTTCAGTGACGATGGTTTCCTGAGGTCTTCCTGAGCCCATGTGGTGATAACTGTGACAGACTGATGTCGGTTTTAATGCAGTGCTGCCTGAGGAATCAAAGGTCAGGGGCATTCAGTGTTGGTTTTCAACCTTGTTACTTACTTGCAGAGTCAAGATTCTCTGAATATTTTGTTATTATGGATGTAGATAAGGACTTTTCTAAATTCCTTGCAACTTTGTATTGAGAAATGTTCTTAAACTGTCAGACCATTTGCTCATGCAGTTGTTCACAAAATAGTGAACCTTGCACAATTCTTGCTTGTGAATAACAGCCTTTTGGGGATGCTCCCTTCATACCCAATCATGACACTCACCTGTTTCTAATTAACCTGTTGGATATTGAGCTGTTCCAAGCAGGTGATTTTTGAGCATCTCCCAACTTTTCTAGTATTTTGTTGCTCATGTCCCAACTTTTTTGGAACATGTTGCAGGCATCAAATTCAAAATGAGTAAATATTTCCAAAATAAAACAAAGTTTGTCTATTTGAACAGTAAATATCTTGTCTTTGAAGTGTATTCAGTTATAGGTTGAATAGGATTTGCAAATAATCATAYTCTGTTTTTATTTATGGTTTACGCAACATCCCAACTTCATTGGAATTGGAGTTGTAGAAATTCCAAAAACTTACAAGCCTTGTCTCAATTTATCATAAAATCTGAGTTTTTAATATAAGATACCTTTTGAATGTTTATACAATTATTTTATCATGGTCTTTGCTCCAATATAAACTGGGAATTTATCATTTAACAGTTATCCTTAGAATGGAAACCCTCCCCAAGTCCCATTAAAAAAAAACACATTTAGCTATTTTGTCTTTGGTTGTTGAGACTTAAAAGTTGTGTGAATTTGTTTAGGGGGGAGCCAACACATCAATCCGACATGGAGGAATCTATGTTAAAGGCATCATACCCAAAGGGGCTGCTGAGCTTGATGGAAGAATACAGAAAGGTAAACCACATTAAAAACTGTGGCTACAAATGTTGGTGACAACAAAGGCTAAACCGCCAAAATAAATGTTTTTTTTTTTTTTGTGTGTGTGTGATTTATGTACAGGTGATCGTGTCGTGGCCGTTAATGGAAAGAGTCTGGAGGGAGCCACTCATCAGCAGGCAGTCGATGTCCTCAGGGAAACGGGGCAGGTGAGGGCTGTTATTTACGATGATGAAAAGACGTTTAGCAGCCACCCGGATGGCCTCGGACGTCATGTAAATCTTGTGTGTCTCTCAGACGGTGCATTTGGTCCTGGAGAGGGGTCATCCTGCAGATGGCACTCACGCTCCCCTCACCCCTCAAACCACTGCGAATCGTGCTGCCAATGAGCAGAATCAGACCAAAGACAAGTTGCAGCCTCCTGAGGCCAAAGAAAAACCTGAGTACAGCTTTGTCACTAAAGGTGAGACGACAACGTGGATTACTCAGAAGGAATCTTGGATCTTGTGCAGTTTGGCGTTACAGTGGGTTAAAACCAATGAATCCATTAATACTGAGAGTAGGCTCTGGATCCACTTTCAATCACTATAAAAGGGTTTTTATAATAAAATGCTCACTTTCCTTCAATGGAAGGCCTTTTTTTTGTAAATATTCCCATCAAAAATTGTTAAAGCAAGCACTTACTGTAATATTTGATCAGCACTTTGTAACTACCATCATTAGGCCTCATTTTTTTCACTCTGAAGAAAGTAACTTGCCACTAACAATTTAATGTGAAAGGAAATGTGTGCACATCCCATTAGCTGTGTGTATTTAGAGCTGGTCAGCTGGTCAGGATGTGTTGCACTTTTCTTGAACTGGACGCTGTTTTTCTATGTAAATGCTCACTGATAAGTTCCCATAACACACAGGAGTAATTACCACTTCCCAGGAATACAGTTCTACCAGTGTTCAGTTCTTTGATTTGTGTGAGCACCTGAACTGTTAGGTTTTCATACGTCTGTCAGTTTTGCTTTGCTTATTTCTGTCTGGTAAACTCTTGTTAAACTAACAAGCTGGAGGTGAATGTTGCTTTCTTGGTAATGTTCTGCAGAATCCTGCTGGCCATGTTTCTAATCTGTAACACAGGAACAAAAGGAAGATTGTGGTGCTTATTTCACATTTGATTGGATGCTGGATTCTTGGCACTAATCTTGGTGTCCTCTTTGAAGCCAGTGTTACTGTGCAGTTTTATGTTTTCTGTGCTGTTGGGTTGAAGATGTCTGTGAAACTTTGATTTTTGTTTTCCCACTCTCACAGGAATAATTGGTGTTCCATCAGAATCAGTTTTATTGGCCTTTTATTAAATTCCTGCACTAATTCTGATGTGAGTTTAGGACAGACGTGGATTTAAACCTGACCAGCTGGCGGGGACATGCAGCCATGAGGCAGTAATTTAGTGTAATACTGTGACTAATCAGACCACCAGACTGTGGTGGGGGTTTCACTAGAGCATTTAAATGTCCAAGTAACTTGTGATTTATTTGAAAATTGGATTCATGTCTGGAAGAGTGTGGAACTTTCTTGTAAAGCCACATAAAAAGACCGGCCCTCTGTTTTGTAGACGATAAAGTAATTATTGGGCTTTATTCTCAGGACTGGTGCTCATCAGCCCAGAGTTGGTATTTACAGCAGGGGCGTGTCTTTGTCCCAACAGATAATGTGTTTGAGGTGAGCCTGGTGAAGAACACCTCAGGTCTCGGCTTCAGTTTCAGTCGAGACGAGCACGTCCCTGATGAACCTCACGGCTCCAGCATAGTGCGGGTAAAGAAGCTGTTTCCGGGTCAGCCGGCTGCAGAGAGCGGTCGGATCAAAGTGGGTGATGTCATCTTACAAGTCAATCAGACCCACCTCAAGGGACTTTCACAGCATGTATGTTTTCTTTTTTTAGCAAGCTATCACACAATCTAATTAGAAATGTTATTGTTCTGTACCGTGATGTATTTGGTATCACATCTCTTACTTTTTTGCAGGAGGTCATATCAGCTTTGCGAGGAACAGGACAGGAGGTGAAGCTGCTCCTCTGTAGACCTGAACAAGGCATTCTGCGTGAGATCGACTCCTCGACCTTGGTGAGCCATTAATGCATTTGTTTTCACAACTGTGCGATCTCACGAGGATTCAGACCTGTCGTGTTTGTTCTCAGACTCCAAAGCCGTCACCCAAAAAGCAGCCTGCGCAGCTCCCAGAGCCCAGCCTGAACTTGAGCAGGACCACCTCTCCTCCACAAGTCAAAATGAGTCAGGGTGCTGTGGAAAAGGCTCTGGAGAGGCTGCAGGTCAAATCCCCCGCCCGGCACAACAGCTACAGCGATAGTTCTGGTGAGGATGAAGAGGTAGAGGAAGCTTTCTCTCTGGAACGCAGCAGACAAAACTGGGAGCTGAGTGTTTATCAGACCCCTGCTGGCAATCCAGGACTGGGACGCTACGACAGCACCGGCCAACTGGATAACACCTTCCACTCAGCTTTTTATTCTCCAAACCTTTCAATGACGAGGTCCGACCTAAACAACAGGTACCTCATCTCACGTCTAAACAGTAGATCAGCTGCTGCTGAAAGCTTTTTCCCCAGTTTTTACAGTTTTTCTATGTTTTTGATAGGTCACCTGAGTCAGCAGACCTGGAGTCACCCTCTTTGCCTGGGATGTCATCTGCCTGTGGCCCCAGCCCAGACCCCCTCCCACCTCCGATGCCGATGCCTTTAAACTTCACAATGTCAGACGACAGACAGAACATGGGAGAAATCCTCCCCGTAAGGACTAATGGCTCTGTTCCACCAGCGCCTCTACAGCATGGTTGGGGGGGGTTTCCATTACATTTCAGTAACAGCTCTGGTGGGTGCGTTCATTGTAAAGGTGGGTGGTCCCAAGGTCAGAAAATTGATGGTGGTAAGCTACATTGTAGCCACAGGTGCCCATTTATACTCAATTAAGCTATTTGCCAACAACCGTTAAACATAGAATAAGAAGAGCCTGAACTGATCTGCAACACAACAATGGAGGACATTGTAGCGTTATTGTAAATGGCAGATTGTGTTGTTGTGAAAGGCGCTCTTGTGACGCAACCAATGACTCCACCCCCCTAAACCAATCAGTGCAGTATGTTTTGAAAATGGGGGTGGTTCTATGAATCTTTGCTAGTGGAAAAGCCTTGGAATCGTGGAGAGCCAAGTCGAACCTTGCTGTAGAGGTGCTAGTGGAAAATGGGCATAAGGAGAAAAAAAACGATTTGGATACATTGTTTTTTTCTTAGTGATAATTCCTGCAACTAAGATGATTTTTGTTGCTGTTGTTAGGAAGTAGAGCTGAAAGTCTCTTTGATGAAGTCAGAGAACGGCAGCCTCGGCTTCACCCTCACCAGAGGCAGTGACCATGGGTGTTACGTCCATGACATTGTCCAGGATCCAGCTAAAGGAGATGGAAGGCTTAGGCCTGGAGACCGAATGATTATGGTACAAATTCATCCCAAGCCTTATTTATTGTTTAGATTATCAATGATTGGTCAAAGTTAACCCCAAAGTTAATTGTAGCTTTTGGCAGTAATTACGTCTTTAAAATACTTCTCTGATGATCACACATCAAAAGCCCAACTGAGACTAATTTCCTTTTTTTACATAATAATAAAGTCAGAAACTTTACCACTCTCTTTGATGTGCAATTTAGTTTTTGTAAAAGTGTAAAAATAGAAAGTCAACAAGACAAAATGAAGCATAACATTTAGTACAGTTTTGGCTGTCTCCATTGCTAAATGTCAAACTATTTATTTTAGTTCATAATAAATGAATCTGTCTTTTTCTGCCAACAGGTTAACAGTACAGATGTAAGCAACATGAGCCACACTGAGGTGGTCAGTCTCGTGCGTGCCGCCCCTCGGCTGGTTGATTTGATCGTAGGAAGGATCCTGCAGGCTCCAAAACCCCCCATAGAAGCCCACCTGCTGCCTGACATTTGTTTTAAAAACAAGCAAGAACCACTGGGTAAGAAAAGAAACCATATTAAGACAAGATAATAGTTTTAAGTTCAGGAACTGGTGTCCATTGCTTGTTAGAGTATAAAGCTTCTGCAATAATTCATTAAAGGAGTTTTTCTAATAAAACTTACTGCTTTGTTTTTTTCCTGTTGCTAGGATTGGTCTTAGATGGCGGTAAAGACAGTGATTTTGAAGTCTTATTTGTGAAAGATATCGAGCCTGGTTCTCTGGTCTTTAAGGAAGGAAGCCTGAGACCACTCGACCTGATCCACTACATTAATGGAGCTCCCACCCAGGACCTGACTCTCAGTGAGAGTATCAGACTTCTGGAGCTCCCTCTTGATATCATCACTCTTAAAGCTACCAGGTAGTCAAACATGTAGCCTGCTCTCAATCCGTTTCTGACACCACAGAACGGTAAATATAATGTATATATTTTTATTGAATCTTCTTTTTCCATGTTGTCCATCTCACAGGGATGGAAACCCTGTTATTCCTGAACAGAGAAGTATCTCGTTTCTCATAGGTTCCAAGTTGTCCTCCAACATGAATGGTTAGTTTTGCGAATTAAAGACATTTTTATTATGTTTTGTCTTTTTTTGTTTTCATGTAACTGGAAAGTTGTTTTTTACAGGGTTCCCCAAAGGGAATGATTCAAAAGATAACGAGGGTCTTGATGCATTTTGTCCTCCAGAGGTAAGAAACTATTTTAGTTTTCTTGTTATAGATTCTATTGGTGCACTTTATTTTTTTTTTCTTTAACAACTCTCATAAACTCAAAGTGTTTATGATAAATGGTTAAAATAAATCACTGAGTTACTGTTGCAGTTAGTCACAGTTATTTTCTGCAATCGCAGGAGGAGATTATTAAGCTGGATTTGGAGAAGCCGCCATCAGGAGGTCTGGGTTTCTCTGTAATTGGAGGGGAGAGAGGCATCTTTGTCAAATCCATTGCACAAGGAGGAGTAGCAGAGACCTCGGGCAAGCTGCAAATCGGAGACAGGCTGCTGAAAGTGAGTATGTTTGACTTCTGAAGCTCAGAGTTGGAGATTAAATATGTTAATTCCACTTTTATTAAACTGTATTTACAATAGTTTTTGTGTTTTAGCCTAGGGGTGTAAGAAAATATCGATACACTGAAATATCATGATATTTCATTTCCTGATACTGTATCAATATTCTAAAGTCCTGTATCGATTTTTTATTAAGGTTTAAAATGTCAACTTTCCTGCCAGCCGTTAATTTTTATGTTGTAGTTCAGCCTCTGACCACTAGTTGGCAGCAGTGAGCCAGTCATTTGGCTACTCTACCTCTTGAGGTAGAGGCYATTGTTAAGTGTTGGGTGACCATATTGTAAATTAATATTAAAAACTAAAAGCTGCAAAAAATATATTTTCAAACTTTTTATTGTCAAATTTAGTCTAATAATTGAAAACATGGATAAAATAAGAAATATGAAACAAATAAAATAAAATACATACAAAGCAGAACACAGCTAAATGTCTCAAAAGCATGTCTATGTAATATTAGAATTTTCTGAGACAATGAAGTTTGGTTTTTCATTTTTTTCCCCTGTAAGAGGTTTTTATTTAACAGAGTTTTTGGACAAAATAATCGCAATGTATCGCGATATATCGTATCGTGACCCATCTGTCATGATATGTATCGTATCGCCAAATTCTTGCCAATACACAGCCCTATTTTAGCCTGACTTTTACTTATTAAATAACACATTCTTTACTAAAGTTCTGAATCAATTGTTAATGTTTTGTTTTTCTTTACAAACCCTTTTTAAAGATCCAGTTTTTGACTTGATGCCTTCATCTTACAGGTGAATGAAGAGCTGATGATAGGCGTTTCTCACACCACAGCTGTCACCACCATTCGAAAAACTAAAGGCCTGGTCCATCTTTGTGTATCCAGACCACCTGACCAGAACCCAAACACTTACCTGGCTTATCTACCTATCAACTCTGATAAATGCAATGGTAGCACAGGTACAAGCTGAGGCTTTTTTTTATTGTTTTAATTTACTTATATCAGAGTGTTTGTAAAACGAGTGGTTTCAAACCTTGTTGTCAGGATGCTGGTTTTAATTTTCTGGTCTTCACGTGTCTTTCAGACCTGAGTGAGGATAGTGGAGTGAAGACTAAACTGTTTCCACCAAATAATGAGCAGAAATCCAGCAACTGTCCTTCCCTTCCTCCTATAGGTGCAGTATTATACACAGACTGAATGAGCGGGTACTTTTAGTTTGAACATAATAAATTTGGTGATTTTTACTTGACAGATTATGAAAATGAACAACTTGTGGAGAAGAGAGAGACGGAGCAGAGAGCAGAGCTTTCAGAGGACACAGACTGTGATGGATCGTCTTTACCTGAAGACTCTCCTGTGGTACAAACCTAATCAAACACACTCAATAAAACTGGATTTAACATGTTTGTTGTATTATTAAACCTCACATTTTGACTCTGAACAGAGCTCAAGGAGAGCAGCGTGGCAGGAGGGGAATATCGACAACCCAAGAAATGAAAAGTAAGATTTTTACATTTGAGTTTGACCTTACATTCACTGTAAATTCTGCTAACATCTCTTTACTGATGCTGTTGGAACAGCAGCTACCTGCAGATGAGTGCTGGGCAGCCAGAGGAAGATGAAATCACATGGGGGAGTGATGAACTCCCCATTGAAAACACAAGCTCTAGAGATAGTAAGTTTCACTTTCATTCAACTTTAAATAAAAAGATCCGTGGTGGGCACAGTTCTCATAAACTTCTAATAGCAGAACTAGCTTCTCATTTAGCAGATTAGCTTTTTGGCTAACTTTGAAAACTGTAAGCATAACTGTAAGATTAGCTTCTGCTAATTTTAAGTCTGTCAAAAATTCACATGTAAAACTTCTATTTTTTTTTTTGCCATTTATTCCAAATTAATAAAATCTGCTCTTACAAGCAGTGAAAGACACCGTGTGTGTAGCATGTAGTATCTATAAAAGCTAAACTTCAAACTAAGAGTGTCAAAAAGAAAATGAATAAGTTAATATTTAAATAAATATACAGGTGCTGGTCATAAAATTAGAATATCATGAAAAAGTAGATTTAT